CTTCTTCCTGCTTTCCCTTTCACCTCCCTGCATTGTGCCTACATATGCAAATTAACCACCATCTTGTTGGCAGTTAACTGCCAATCTTAGTTGGCAGTTAACTGCCAATCTTAGTTGGTGGTTAATTTGCATATAGCCCTGATTAGCCAATGAAAAGGGTAGCGTCGTACGCCAATTACCATTTTTCTCTTTTATTAGTGTAGATTCTAACTGAAACCTCATTTTAAACTAAGAAGCTTAATTTAAAATTAAGAAAGAATGTAAATGTGGCCTAGTTTAATGAATAAATGGCTGAATAACATTCTTAACAGATGTTTTATGATACAAAATATAAGTCCATATTCAAGTATAAGAACATTCAGGATTGTATTATTTTAAAATATATCTTATGGGCTGGCAGAGGGGGGCAGTAAGGGATGACCATGCTGGCGGGGTGGGGAAGGTTAGGGGCAACCAGGTCAGCAAGGGGAGCAGTTAGGGGCAATCAGGCTGGAAGGGGGGCCAGTTAGGGGCAATCATGCAGGCAGGCAGGTGAGAAGTTAGGAGCCAATGGTCCAGGATCATGAGAGGGAGGATGTGCCCACAACCAAGGTACATGCCCTTGACCGGAATTGAACCTGGGACCCTTCAGTCCGCAGGCCGACGCTCTATCCACTGAGCCAAACTGGTTAAGGCTGGGATTGTATTATTTTATGTAGCAAAACATTATGTAGAGTTCGTGGTTCCCCAGACATTGTCCCAAGCTCGCCTGCTCCTGATTCTGTGTCCTCAGGGCCAAAACTCATATGATCTTTTATAATAAGAAAGAAGGCGCCTGCCCTGCTGGAGCCAACCCCTAGGCGGCGCGGCTGCATCTTCGCTGAGCCTTTCTTCCTGTCCTGCCGGCAGCATGGGGAGCAGCAGGTCACCCTGGAAATTCTGCTCTGACCCCCGCCAGCTGCTGGTTATACACACATGAGGGGGACAGCTACCTGCAGCTGCCAGTGTAACAGGGAAAGTGGGGGGAGGGTCCGCAGTCGGCCTTCGGGAGCTCAGAGTCCGATAAGAAGGCGGCTAATGTACGATGTTACAAACGCTCAGCGGTGCCTGGGCCCAGGGTGGTCAGCGTCCTGAGGTAAATCCCCAGAGGGACCAGGGTCCCCGGCAGCCACCGAATGAAAGCTGCTCTGCCCTGGTCTGTTCTCAGATACATTTCTTTTCTGAGTCAGAGACCCATCAGGCAGCTTATCTTTTCACAGCCTCGCGTCATCCTCCAGTGCCCCGGGGTCTGTGAGAAAGCTTCTCCTCTGCAGCTAGTGAGGTGAGTCATTGCCAGACAGTGCGGCTCTCTTCCTGTTAGTGCCCCTCCCCAGGATCAAGAACTTTGAAAACTAACTTGAGATTAACAAGGAGTGGGCCTAATTCCCCAAATGTATACCAAACATCTCATCTTCGGTCTTCCAGTAGTGACAAGACTGTCTTCATTCCGAGCACACGACTAATAATCTAATCAGCTGCGTGCAGGTTGGGCGGGGCGTGGTGGTGAGGAAAGGCGGTGGTCCACTCCGGAACCGCTTGGACCCCCCTGGGCAGCGGTCTTCTCCTAACCTTCCCTACCTGGTGGCATTAGGACTTGTAAGTAGGCACCTCGCCTTTGGAGCCAGCCTGCGTGAGTTCCAGCTCTGGCTCTCCCCCTTCGAGGTCTGTGACTTGGACAGTTGCTTAGTCTCTCTGCCTGAGCGTCCTTGTCTGTAAATTGCCATATTAATAATAGCACCCGCCTCATGGGAATGCAGTCAGTACGTTCGAGACACTTAGAACTTACCTGGCATCGAGAGAGTTCTAGGAAAAGCTCAGCAAGTATCATTCTTAATAATGCTGTGCTGGTCCGGAATTAGGCCCTGAATCCTTCTGGGAAGCGATGACTTTCAGAATTAAGCTGCATTTACTCAAATAGAGTCATCCCAGCTATGCAGAGCTAAAATTGGTTTCACAGGAGCCCAAGAATTATGTCTTCCTGCCTTGCCCTTGGGGCAGCCTTCTTACTCACCGCCTTCCTCTAGTTCCCTGAGCTCCTTAGAAAACCTTTCTTTTTTCCATCAGAACTGAGACACCAGCAGGGACTTAACTCTAAGGAGCTGGAAGCTGTTTTTGGATGAGATTACATCACATTCTGAACCATAAACAAAACATTTACAGGCTCTCTCCAAGGCCTGCCTGCTTCAAGGCTTGACCCTGGGGTTGCTTTTGAAACTCTCATCTGCCCCTACTGGCTGAGCCAGAGGAAGCGTCCAGGATTCTGGGAGGGCGGTTGCAAGGCCCCAGCATTCAAGTTAATTCGGAACCAAAAGGGTAATAAGGTAAGGGTGGTAAATGGCAAGCACTTTCTAGTTTGAGAAGCTGATGCTAAAACAGAGGGAGGCATTTTGAGTATTTCCTCTCTGAAGGAATGTCCTTAGGCAACATTTTGGCCCCAAATCAAGGTTGAGGGTGGGCGGAGTGGTGGGCGGAGTGGTGCTGGCTTGAGGATGTCTCAGGGCTTCCCTTGGGACAAGAGCGCATTGGCATGTGAGGACCCCGGGAGCAGCGGAGCCGCGATCCTGAGCTGCCCTCCAGTCGGGTGAGCATCAATTACCTACCTAAAGCTTGTGCTAAAAGCTTGTCTACTCATTTAATAAAAAGTATCAACGACCCATGTGTAGAGGAAGTGTGCTTTCTTAAAAGTTGTGTTTATTCTTATATTTGTCAAATTCTATATTGGTTCCATCCCTCCCCTGACTTTTAAAGAAAAAAGATATAGTTAAATGATTCTTCTGCTGAAGGAAAGAAGGAGAGTGTGTAATTGCTTTCCACAGACTTTCCAGTGCCTGCAGAAAGCCTCGGTGCGTCCTGGGGACGAGCAGGGCAGGGACGGCCCTCTGAGGGTCGGTGCTGTGTCCAGGGCAACTATTGGACTCACGCGTCACCCCTCACGCTCCCACACCTGAGTGGCGCTCAGAGGACTGTCTGTGTGTGCCTAAGTGTGGCCAGGCTGTGCACGCAGCTGCCAGCCTGTATGGATGGTTGTAATTCTATGTTAACATCGATAATATTGTGCTTTCCAGGGTCTGTCAAATTTTATGTTTTTAATTTCTTCAAAAATACAAATTCATTTTCTTTTCTTTTAATTTAGCTTCTTTCAGTCCATTGTCAATAGACAGTGAAATAGTGCGGCCATTGCGAGGTTGTCCTCCGGGTGCCGGGTGCCGGGTCCCGGGTCCAAGCACAGCACAGTGATGCTCTCCTGAAACCGCAGCTTCCAATGCTTCTGCACAAGAACCACCTGGTGTGGACCTTTCTCCTGGGTGTAATGAAGCGAGTAAAAGTCGTGGGTGTAAATATTTTACAAGTGATTTTGTATGATTTTCTTTCAGTGGAGAGACTGACGACTCTTTCCAGTGATAAATCCTAGTAGTACTGTCGACCTCCTTGGAGACCTTTACCGTCATATGTCAGGGATTCAACTTGAATAATTTCAACAGTCAGTTGGCAACGCTGCTCTAGCTGATAAACCAAGAATGAGACTTCGGGTCTTGGCGATCCTAACAGTTCTTATACATTTCACAGCAGCTTCAATCAGTATGTATTGCTTTGCAACTGTAATTTAAAATGTTTTAAATTAAGTAATTTCAAGAACATTTGCCTTGTTTTAAGCTGCTTGCTTACAGTCATTCCAGTTGAATTGTAGCCTGGAATTTATTTATGCTCTACAGTCATCCTTCATTACAAATCCGTGAAGATGAGTTCTTCGTAGATATCTCATCATTTTGGTTTTACATGGTTTTACTTGTTCAGCTATGTCACAGCTTACCAGAGCCCTGCACGAGGGGGGCACTGCACGCGCCTGGGGTGACAGCCTGTGTACAGTGGACATGCCTTTCCCACGGGAGCACTTTGGGGGACGTGGCTCCACACTGACCCTTCAATCTCTGGTACCTATTAGAGCAGTGGTTCTCAACCTGTGGGTCGCGATCCCTTTGGAAGTCGAACGACCCTTTCACAGGGGTCGCCTAAGACCATCCTGCATATCAGATATTTACATTATGATTCATAACAGTAGCAACATTACAGTTATGAAGTAGCAACGAACATAATTTTATGGTTGGGGGTTACCACAACATGAGGAACTGTATTTAAAGGGCCAGAAGGTTGAGAACCACTGCATTAGAGCATTTCATAAAAGATCTTAATCACCTACCTATTCTTTCTCAGTTTAAGTATCACAAAGTGATACTTAAAGTGAGTGGCTCATTTCTCAATTAAATCCTAGAGGGGACTATCCTAGAGGATAAGAATTGTGATCTTTATACGATTATTTCACAATCTTTTCATATTTTTAATTTGCAGGCAGATCATCTGCGGGTATGGAAAATGAGGCTTTGCTTGTGAGTTGTCCTAGAGAAGGAAGCTCTGAATACCCTGTGGAGTGGTATTACTCAAACACCAACCGAAGTGTCACCACCCAGAAAGGAAATCGTGTGTTTGCTGGAGGGGAATATCTTAAGCTTCTCCCAGCCAAAGTTGAGGATTCTGGAGTTTATACTTGCATTGTCAGAAGGTAGGACCAGTCACCATGATCATTAGGCTTGTTCTCTTTTCTTTAAGAGGTGAAAGCCTGAGCTGCCCTCACTTTCCTTCTCTTTATAGACTTTTCTGGTATGGTTGACTTTGCAAAGTGATTTGAGTAACAGAGTACTTCTGGGAACATGCTCAGGTTGGGGTGTAAGTGGTTATGAACTAACTACTTGGATGTAAAACTGCAGGGATTAATTTTTAGCCCAGTCTTTTCAGTTAGAAAAAACCTAGTTTTTCTAGTGACCAAGAAATTGAGACGAGCTGCTCAGTTTTGGCTGGAAGTGAGAGTAAACCAGCACAGCAAACAGTAAGCAAGGCAGTGGGCACCATGGGCCGGCGGGGGGCATGGGAGGGTCATCACCGTGCCTGGCACCTGAGAGGCGATTGGGGAGGGATGTGAGATCATGTGCCTGCAGATTATTCCCTCTGCAGACAGGCTGCTACATGTGTTGATTGCGTGCCTGTATTTGGCACAGACAAAATGTCAGATGAACTTCACTGAAAGGCAGGACGGGTATAGTTAGGTGCCTAGGTTCTGAGGGCAGACAAGTTTCAATTTCAGATTCATCTCCATCACTAGTCAGCTGGATGCTTACGGGTTACTTCTCTGTCCCTCAATTTCCTCATCTGTAATCTACATAAAATAATATAAACCAGATTTGGGTACAATCATTTCATAATGCTAAGTAACTTTTTTAAATTGTTGGATTTATTTTGATAGTTCTACCTTCGTTAAGACTGGACATATGAATGTCACCATATATAAGAAACAACCAGGTTGCAAAATTCCAAGTGGCCTGATATATTCAAAAATCTCTGGTTCAGAAAAAAATTCCAAAATATATTGTCCTACCATTAAGCGCTACAATTGGACAGCACCTGTTGAGTGGTTTAAGGTAAAGAAAATTTGGGGAAATAAATGAAAGTTACTCAAAATAGATGGACGTTAAGGATTATTGAGAGTGGAATGGCATTTTGTATTTCAGAATTGTAAAGTTCTTCAAGGATCAAGGTACTTCATACAAGAGGCTTATTTGCTAATTGACAATGCAACTAACGAGGACACGGGTGATTATACATGCAAATTTATGCACAATGAAAATGGAGTCAGTTACAGTGTGACAGCAACCAGATCGTTCGCCTTTCACAGTAAGTACAGAGCTTAGCACAATAGAACATTTGCCAACAGATCAGGCGGGAGGAGTGGCCCTGCTGTTGATGTTCCTGCGCTGCCCTGGCCGCCTCCTGCGTCAGTCAGCACCTCAGTCAGCATCTCTGCCGTCACCACTATCAAGACTTAGACATTCCAGAGGGAGACGGTGTTACTAGCCCAAAATCACCTTTTCTTTCTTTTTTACTTAATTTTCAAAGATAATGTGATCGAATGCTAACTTAACGTTTTTGACCGGCAATACAACTATTTGAAGAGCAAGATTAACATTTCTTCCCCAATTTATTGTCAAAGATTCTGTAAATAGAAAAGGTCTTGAGGGCCTCCTGTGGTTCAGCGGTTGTTTCTAGAAAAGGTCTACGTAATCTCTGATGTAACTCACTGGACTAGAAGTTGAGTGAGAACCTTTATAAAGACACCTGAGTGTTGTCAAGTGGCTTTCAGCCCTGCTTTGGAATACTTTCAACATCATCAAAGGCCTCAAGTAGGTCACTTAATTATAAATTTTTTCCAATTTATTTTAAACTCCACAAAAGCCCATTCAGGGAAAAGATATCACAATCGAGAGTGTCATATGGACACAGATGGTCCCTTAGCCTGGCTTGGCCGTGGGTGTGGAAGAAGCAGGCCTGTGTGTGATTTCCTGGGGCAGAACCACGCGGAGAAAGGCTGTGGTGAGCTCTCCGCTCCCACAGGGAAAGGGGCCGTGGACCACACTCCAGTAGCCATCGCAGCTCACAGCGGAACCGCAGGCTCCTAACCATGGGCCCTCAGTGGTGGGGCCCAGTCTGGGCACACAGTCACCCGGGCACCAGCCTGCACTCGGTCCCTGGGTGCCAGGCCACAAGCCCGGCACTTCCCAAGAGGCTGGGCCATGGGGGGGTGGGGAGGGGTGAGGAGGAGGAGGCAGCAGAAGTGGGGCTCCTGCGTTGATCATTCTCATGGGTGTTCTGATTTCCCCTTCCCTGAAGTGTGCTTTTCTGACAATTGTTAGGTCATACGATTAATTAATGGGTTGGACTAGTATTTGTGTAATGAGATAAAAGAGAATAGAAAATATTAAAGAGCATAATCAGTAGTAAGGGAAAATGCTATTTTATTTTAAAGTTTTATTTCTTTGCGTCTGTGTGTATTTGCTGCCATTGTCGTCAGAAAATTTGAGAAGTATTGCTATGAAATAGGATAGAAATTTGAAATACATGTTTATATTGATGACCATCCAAAAGCTGTTCTAACATTGTATTCTCTTCTGGTCTTTGATTCAAGGTGACGAAGGCTTTTCATTGTTTCCTGAAATAATAGCACCTACACAAAACGAGACCCGGGACGTGGAAGTCGGTAAGAAAACTTGGTAACTATAGCCTGGACCAACCCCCAACCCCCGCTGGCCTGAGACCCCCAGGTGGGCCAACGCGCCCCGTGTCCTGAGGGTTACATGAGATGTCGGTGGCAGCCCTGCCCCTGGCACTGGCTAGGAGTGGGGACATGTGGTCACAGCCATTCATGGCACCTACTCTGGAGTCAACTTTGTAACTCCTGTGCCCTTGTCACTCCTGTCCGGGGCAGAAACTGTCCCCCTTACGCTTGTAAAGGGGACCAAGGACGTGCCCGAGGGTCTGAATATTCAGTGATAGGCCAGAACCAGGCTCTCCATCTCTGCCTTTCCTGGTCCCCCCAGAGGTGGGAGAGAGAATGCAAAGGTTTTGCATGTAAACGTCCTGCCCGACTGGTCCTCACCCACATGCTGGCTCATCTGCAGCCATTTTCCCACGCCAGTCCCATCGCCCCCACCACCCCTGGCTGTGACACGGCCATGGCATTTCCACCTCCGTGCCTGCTTCTGCCCACTGTTTCACTTCTCACCTCTCAACACAAAGCTCAAATGCAAGCCTCTGCAAAGACCCATTAGGGCCACCGGTTACTTGGGCAGCAGGCGGCCTCTCCCTGCAGGAACTTCTCCCTGTGTCCCATGTCGCCGCAACCTCTCTAGAGAACACCTGTGTTCTCATTGTTTGTTTACACCCTTGTCCCCCGTGTAGAGACCTGAGCTCCTTTTCTCTCTTCAGACACCTAATTCTAGAGGCAGGAGCTGGGAAGGGAGGGCTGGATGCATGTCCTCAGGCCCTCGAGGGGAGGCCGTCTGGCCTCAGGTCTGAGGGCGGCCTCAGGTCTGAGGGAGGGAGTCTCCATTGAAGGATTGGAAGGAGAGGGCTCTTGGGCGATGGAATACTGGGATGGCCGCCAGGTCAGGTAAAGCAGTTTTACTCGCCTGGAGCGAGGTGAAGAGAATGCAAAAGGAAGAGAAATGTGTGCAGGAGAGCACTAAGAAGAAAAGCCAGCTCACAGTAAGGGGAAATACTGCTCTATAGCGTGGGACTGAAGCTGCAGGCATTTGTCCCTCTGGTTTCCTCTCCTGGTGAGAGTGGAGGGGCTGAGCTCGAAGCCTAATTGTGAGGGACATAAAGACAATGGGGAGGGAGGCGGCGTGGACGGCAGGGTGGGACTAGGCAGCACCCATTTTTTTCACATTAAATAAACACTATTTGCAGCATTTAATTTTACTGGTGAATTTTTTCTCCTGCAGGGAAAGCAGTGAACATCACTTGCTCCGCTTGCTTTGGGAAAGGCTCGCAGTTCATGACCACCGTCCTGTGGCAGGTTAACGGGACCAACGTTAGGAACGTTAGTGAAGCAAGAATTTGGCAGGAGCAAGAGCAAAATCAAAGGTATTTTCATATTGAAGTTGAAACGCCCCCTTGGCCTCCCACACCATTGCAACTGCAAAATAGCATTGGAGGTAACAGTGGCCTTCTCAGTTCCAGCAGTGCGTTGACCTGCCGGAGCGCCATTCTGCGGATAGTGGATGTGAGAGAGGAGGATTTGTTGCTGAGGTACGACTGTAAGGCCGTGAACCTCCATGGCGTGAGACACCGCTCGCTAAGACTCAGGAGGAAAAAGCCAAGTAAGGGGTGTTTCCGAGGCGTTGGTCACGAGCCTGCTGTGTCAGCTGTGAGCTGAAAGCCTTTGCTTAGTGAGCAGGGCCCGCAGGACAGCGCCGGCCTCCCAGCAAAGGCACTTCTCCTCTTGAGCACATGACCCTGCAGGCAGCGCCTCCAGATGTGTCTGGCAGCCTCTTTACCACTTTACTTCCTTCTTCTACCTCTCTCCTCCCCTGCCCTCTCCCCCTCCCCACTCAGCTCCCGCCCCCCTTCCACCTCTGGGCTCTCTGCCTCACAGCGGCTTCCTTGGGCCTCCTGCTTCCGGCCTCCGCAGCCTCCCTGCGCACTGTGTGTGAGAGAAGACAGCAGCCTGTGAACATATATCATGCCATAAGCACTGTCCCTTTTATAATGTATTTTTGTCATAAAAAGTACACATTGTGTTAGTGAAGCTGGAAAAGTGAGCGAAATGGTGAAGTATTTAATATCTGTTCGTTCCAGTGAGAAAGCCTTATTCCTGTGCCTTGCTTATGTTGCCATTTCAGGAATGTTCTCTGGCACCTGGGGCTGGGACCGCTTTCATGTTCCCTGTACCTGGTGTTTTGTTCCTTCTAGTTTATCTGTATTTGGTAACTTTCAACGTGGTTATGTTCTGTCTCAACAACTGTGTAAATTAAACAAAAATGGTTGCTACTGTTGTACTGTCATGACGAATTTCTTTATTTCTAATCATAGAATAAAAGAAATTACAGCATTATCTTTAATTTTAAAAACAAAAACTTAAAAGGCCTATATCCCCATATTATTAAATATTATTCGATAAATATGTAATACTCATAATAATATTATTATTACACATGTTTATTGTTTCCTCTGTACGAGGACCTAATTATTTTCCATTTGATTTCCCCTTAGTTAAAAGTCAATATTCGTAAGAAGAGCTGCTACTACCCTCTAATTGTAAAGATGCGGAAACTGGGGCGCAGGGAGGCCAATAGCTTGCCCAGCTCCGGGGTTCCAGGGCCACAACCACACGCAGGCAGCGCTCTGTTTGTAAGCACTTTCAGGGAGTAGTCAGTGTCCAGTCGTCTCATAAAAACAGGCCTTTACGCATTGACTAGAGGCCCGATGCACAACATTCCTGCAAGAGCAGGCCTTCGCCCCCCATCCCCATCCCCACTGCCGGCACCTGCTTCCCTCTGGCACCTGGGACCCACCCCAGTGTCCCTCGCAGCCCCAGCTTCGTCTGGAAGGACGGCCGGTCTAATTAACATATTGCACTTTATTAACATTAACGGGTAGATGAGGCCCTGATACCTGGGAAGGCACAGAGCCACTTGCTCTGATGTCCTGGTTAACTTCTCTCCTTCCTTGGAAGTGGCAGCCACGCCCAGGGTGGGAGCTGTAGGAGAGGGAGCTGGAGGCCTGTGGTGGGCACCTGTGCTAGGGAGCACTCGCTTACACCGCTGGCGGCACAGTGAGCTCTCTGCCAGCGTCCTGGCCATTCTCTTTTTTATTTTATTTTATTTTATTTTTTGCCTATTTTAGGTGCCTCATGTAAGTGGACTCAAACAATATTTGCCCTTTTATATGTGGTTTATTTCACTCAGCATATTCCTGCCGCCTGAGCCAGGATTTCATTTCTTTCTAAGGCTGACATGCCCACCCTTTAAAGTTGGGCTCAGATGTAAGTGTTTTAACCAGATACTTCACACACGGTGCTGTGGCTTTCATATCACACGAAGGCACGAGGCGCAGGTCTCGCTGCCCGGGCGGTGACCTCAGCCTGCCGGTCAGTCCTGTACACCGTCCTCCCTCCTCCTGCCGCGGCCGAGCTTTCCTGCCGTTGAAGCCGTCATTTTAGCGGGAGTTGCGGAAATGGTCAGTGTAACTCCGCTCACCTTCACGCTGTGAAATGGAATTTCCCCTCGTTCCCCCGGCTGCTTGGTGACCCTAACTGGTCCAGTGCCTGCAGGAGAGGCAGGGTAAGCGCCAGTCCTTCGCCTGTTTGCTGACTTGCAGAGTAAGGAGTGGGTGCCCTGCTTACTTCTAACAGAGTTCGAAGTGTCACCTCTTCCGTTGGTGGTGCGGGAGGGCTTTCTCTAGGATGCATCGTGATATACTTCTGTGTGTTTTGGGGGCGGATGACAATGGTTAACAAAACCATGCAGGTTGAAGGTGCATCATTCCCCAGCACATCTGTACACTGTGCAGTGTGTTCACCACCCCCAATCAAGTCTCCGTCCACCACCATTTATCCCCTTCACCCTCCTCCCCCTCCTTAGCCCCCCCCCCGGCAATTACCACACTGTTGTCCATGTCCATGAATTTTCTCTTCTTTTTTCCCTTTTGCTCAATCTCTCCCCTCCACACACTCTGTCCCACCCCATCGCAGCAGCTGTCACCTGCTCTCCATGAGTCTGTCTCTATTTTGCTTGTTAGTTCATTTTATTCATTAGATCCCACATCTGAGTGATGTCCATGGTGCTTGTCTCCCTCAGTCTGTCTTGGCTATTCTTGGTCTCACTCTGCTGGGCGCAGGAAGTGGTGAGCAAGCAGAGGGAATTTTGAATATGGGCCCGTGCTTTTCCATGTCAAACCTGGGAGGCCATGCTTCGAGGTTTAAGGTGAAAATCAAAGGAGAACTATATAACCAACTCTCATTTGAGATTCTTCTCATGCGCATCACTAAGTGGGGTTACTTGCAAAACATGGTAGTTAGCAGTTCCAAAGGGAGAAGTAAACCTGAAACAGCCACCAAGACCGTTAATGGTCACAGCTCTTATGTTCAGTTTGCACATACCTGTCACAAGTCCTTGAAGATGGGGACCATCATGCAAATGTATTTTGTGGGGCAATGAGTGCAGGCTAAAGTTCAGCGATGGCTAAATAACGTGCACCATAAGAGAGGTAAGGGGTCTGTGTGGGACCTAGAGCGCGGAGCTTTGACTTCTCTACCAGAGAGCTTTAGAGGCTTAAGTGGCTCTTGCTTCTTCCCCACTCCTCCAGCTACCAACTCCAGATTCAGAAATCTCCAAGACCTGGTGACGTGTTCTCCTTAGTGCCCCAACACTGGGCTCGTCCACTCCTTTCTCATTATTGCACGAGTTCGAGCCCTCCTCACCTCTTACTCCAAGCTGCAGAAACTTGTCACCCACTCTACTCCAAGTTTCTTTCCACAGAAACAAGCCTTCCACCACCATCAAATTAATCCTGCTTGAAAGTCACGTTCATTGTTAACACTCACACAACGCTCTTCGTTGGCTCCCATGACCTTCAGAATAAAGGCGAAATGCCTTAGCTGTAGCTTTGATTCTTAACCTATCTTCATTCCCCAAATTGAATTACTCCGGTTCCTCAGAAAACATACTCCCACCCCTGCCCTTGTGCTCACAGCGCTGTCTCTTGCCAGGAGTAACACAGTTCTTTCTGCAGCAATCTCAATTTGCCTTTTCAGGGACCGCCTCCTGCAGGAAGTCTTCATTCCCAGCCCAGCATGGAGTGAGCACTCCTTCTAAAAACCTCTGACATATGTCTCTATGCCTTGTATGCTCGTTTTCACAGTAATAATTTTTGTCCTCCCACATCTTTTGAATAGTTGATCGTCAAAGCACCTACTACATGCTTGCTGGATTTGGCATATTGTTAATGCTAATTAATATCATGATGATCATGCTGAAGGTGTTCTGGATTGAGGTTATCCTTCTCTGGAGGGACGTAGCGAGGCCTTACAAAGCCAGGAACGGTAAGTGCAAGTTTCGAGTTCTTCAAAAGAAAAGGTACCATAGTAGCTCTTGTCTCCTTCTCTCTTAATGACTGTGCTACAAGACCCAGCTTTCCTTTTGCTTACCAGCATGTGCTCCACAAACCTTTCTGAAGGTTTAAGTGGCCATTCTTAAGCCATTCTTAAGCCATTCTTCATCCTGCCTGTCGCTCCTTGTGATTCTAAGATGCAACTTAACAATTCGAACTTCCTCCCCAATAGATTGCTTTTCCTACTAAAGCCCCAGTAACAGACTCTGCCCAAGTTCCAGAAAGGTTTACACATTTTGGAATTTAAACTTAACTAAATTGTTCCTGTTCCCAGACGTGCAGAGGTCAGACAGGTCCAGCAGCGCACAGGGGCCCTGCTGCACCATCTGACCAAGGCCTGGGGCGCGCACATGGAAGAAGACAGCTCTGCCTCTGACTTTGAATACCTCGCTCGGAGGCAGATGGGCTTCAGTTGGTCCACAGGGTCCCCTCCACTCGGGCTACTTGTTGGATCTTTTGGGAACTCAGTTCCCTGAAACATTTTACTCCCTTGCCACTATCAGCCTTTAGCAATGTTACCTCCCCAGGGGAAGAATCAGGCAAACAAAAGACAAGATCGAGATGTTACAGCACAGCGTACCTTATCCATGACTATACATACCTGTTAATAGAGTATTGATGAAATGTCACCATATGGTTTGAACTAAACTGCCAGCCTCTTGCCCATTCTCTCTCATTCTGTCTGGGACAGTAAAAAGGAGGAGGTTTTGGAATTAAGATTGATTTTCTGGTGACATTTGTGGCAACATACTATTGTCATCTGGGTTCTACAATATTTTGGGGTGTTGGGTACATTCATCAGTAACCATAAAACTTGATGGCAAATACTAGAATCACATAATAAAGTTGTACTCTCTGCTCTCCCTTTCAGATGGAAAGATCTATGACGCTTATGTTATCTACCCACGGACCCACAAGGATAGTCCAGAGGGGACCTGTTCTGTGGAGTACTTTGTTCACCAGGTTCTGCCTGACGTTCTTGAAAATAAATGTGGCTACAGCTTATGCATTTATGGGCGAGATCTGCTACCTGGAGAAGGTAACACTATCAGCATACATCAAGGACAGAAATACACTTCCTCAGAAGGCTCAGGGAGGGTGGTCTCATCATTGCGATGGATAAAGAATTAGTGTCATCATTCCAGGCCCAATAACGGTGACTTTCACTGTTTCTCCAGAGGAAGGAGATGCTTATTCTCACTCCCCTGTCCCTCGGTCGCCCTGATCGAGAGGTCTGCACCAGGGAGGTGAGGACAGGGGAAGGCACCCTTAGCATGTGGATTTGGCAGGGCACTCTCCTACTTCCCATGTCCACCACTAAGATCACTCAACATCTCTTACTTCTCTCTAGAAGATGTGAAGGGGGACTCTAAAACCATGAAATTTTGTTCTACTATCCAGAGTCATTGCCTAAAATATTTATGATTTTCCTTATGATGGTGAAACATTTGCAAATTTATCTTCTCACAGAACAACTAAGACTGTCTTTTGTTCCTTGATATTCCTACTCGATTTCATGCACTTTTGGAAGCGGCATCACAGTCCCAGCAGCTCAGTAGTTACTCTTATCTTTCTCTGTATTTGCATCACATGAACCCCCCTTGCCCTTCCTGAACTCCTCAGGGGCCAGGAAGTATTTGAGAGCGATGAGGCAGGAACACAGTGAGCAGGAGTCCAATCAAATTGATGGTTGGTAGACGGTGAGTTTAAACTGGCATTTCTACTGAAAAGAGGAGCTCACGTGCTTACAGATTAAAGGATACACACAGCAGGTGGATCTGGTGACCCTGGCATGCTGGAGTGATGTTAACTGCCTAGGCAGGGTTTGGGAGACGGGTACAATGCACACTTGAGGAAACGGAAAGCTAAGTCTTCTCTTAGGGCGATCTTCTTCCTCCAGCTCTCCCACTGGCTGTCCACGGAGGCAGGGAGCGCAAACGGTCTCTTCATACTACACGTCCACCCAAGAGGTTGCAGGGACTGCAGCTGGCAGTGAAGTCACACCATGTGCACATCTGGACGCAAGCTCTTCATCTCTTCTTTCCCAGGCTCATCAACCTCATTTCTAGTTACAACTCTTCCCAGTTGAGTGTAAATGCCAGCTCACTGGTGCACACTGTTTTTCATTTGGAAAAGTTTTCTACTTCCCCTTCAAGCGTGTCCTCCGTCCTTACTGCAGCCAAAGCAAAATGAAATCCAACAAAATAACACCAAACTTGACTCTCTCCTTAGAAAATGTCAATGACTGACCAATGCAGTGTATTTCCTCCCTGCTAGAGACCTTCCATTTGCTCCTGCAACCCCATCCAGCGGCCCTGGGTGGCTGATCATTACAGATGCACCACTCCCTCACCCTCGGCTCCACGTTGGTTTTGGCCAAAGGGAGCTGCTCCTGGGTGATGTTGCCCGGGTAGCTGCCCTTCTCTCTGCCGGAGCAGGGTTCCTGTCGCCGGCCTTCCTCAGGCCTTTACACTCCTTGGCTTCATAGCTGCTTCCTTCCTCGCACACTGGAGAGTGCACTTGCTCCCTGATATTGCCCGGTTTGGGGGTCTGCCCGCCTCTCATTGATTTCCCTGGCTCTGCCCACATAAACTCTCTTCCATCTGTCCTTCTGAGTGTGCCCTGTTTTCTGTTAGGATCCTGACTGGCCCAAGGTCTCTATCCGGCTCTGTTTACCATTTCCTTCCTTATCTCAGACTCAGCAAATTGGCAGTCTCTCAGCCCCTCTCTCCGGAATATGTGGGGCTGTTTTGCCGCGCGCTGGGTTTTCTTAACCATGCATCACTCTGCAGTGAGAACTGGGTTTTAATGTTTACCTAAGTCCACCCCGATGTTAGTTGAAATCTCTTTGGAGCTGATGCTTCATAAACATCGACTTGCCAAGGGGCTCTGTCTTCCTAAAGGTTTTTCTAGTCTGGATCACACCCAGCTCTCAAACAGGGGTCACGGGGTTGCAGGGGATCCAGGACTCCCTGGAGACTTAGTCCTTCAGAGGAACAAGGGTTCCCAAGTTTGCATTCTTTTTCTTTTAATCCTCACCAGAGGATGTTTCCACTGATTTTTTTTTTTTTTTTTTTTTTATTTTTTTTTTTTTTTTTTGGAGAGAGAGAGGGAAACAATGACCGACTGATCAGTTGCCTCCCCTATAAGCCCCGCCTGGGTGTAGCACCAGCAGCCTAGGCATGTGCCCTGATGGGAAACTGCACCGCAGCCTCTTGGTGCAGGGATGACACTCCAACCCACTGAGCCGGCCAGGACTGAGTGTGCACTCCTTAACGAGAGTTAAAGTTCTAATCTCTTCTAAAACATGTAAACGGATACTCTAGAACAGTGGTTCTCAACTTTCCTAATGCCGTGACCCTTTAATACAGTTCCTCATGCAGTGGTGACCCCCAACCATAAAATTATTTTCGTTGCTACTTCATAACTGTAATTTTGCTACTGTTCTGAATCGTCATGTAAATATCTGATAGGCAGAATGTATTTTCAATGTTACAAATTGAGCATAATTAAAGCACAGTGATTAATCACAAAAACAATATGTAATTATATATGTGTTTTCCGATGGTCTTAGTGAACCCCCAAAAGGGTTGAGAACCGCTGCTCTAGAAAGACACTGTGCAGCTAAGGAGCCTGGATTCTGCCTGAGGACTGACCCACCTGGGGGAGGGGGATGGAGGCTCAGTGGAAGGGGTAGACTCCCGGGGGCTCTGGATCCAAGCCTTTTCTGAATAGGGGAACTGATGGTGTCAGAATCTCACACCAGATAACAATGTTTTAAGTTCAGAACATGGACGAAAGCATTAGACTTAACACGCAGCTCAGGCCACTTCCTCCTTGTCTTTCATTCCTAGACGTGGCCACGGCGGTGGAGACCAACATCCGAAAGAGCCGGCGGCACATTTTCGTCCTGGCGCCCGGGGGGGTGCACAGCGAGGAGCTGGCCTACGAGCAGGAGGTGGCGCTGCACAGTGCCCTGGTGCAGGGCGACGCCAAGGCCATCCTCATCGAGGTGCAGGCTCCTGGGGGCCTGCAGCTCGCCGGGCTCCCCCGGTCCCTGCAGCACCTGGTGCAAGTCCAGGGCACCATCAAGTGGCGGGAGGACCACGTGGCCAACAAGCGGTCCCTGAATTCCAGGTTCTGGAAGCACGTGCGGTACCACATGCCGGTGCCCAGCAAGCCTCCCTGCAAGACGGCCCTCTTGGCTCCCTGAATGGCCGTCCTGATGTGCATGTGCGCATGCGCTGGAGTTGC